GGACCTGTCTCAGTTCTGGACTGAGACAACTGGGTGTGTCTGGGTTCTGGACTGAGACAACTGAGTTCTGGACTGAGTGACTGGGTTCTGGACTGAGACAGGTCCCCAACTGAGGTACAACATACTGAAGTGCCAATCCATTTTCAAATTGCTTGTCAGGGTCAGCATCACAACACCGCTTGGCAAGTTTCTTGTATTATAGTAATTTACCCCAATTTGCTTATAGTCCTTATCACAGGATACAGTAGTGGATGCATGAAAATTTACATCCTTACAGTCACATCACGTGATAAAAATAAATAAAAATAAACGATTGGAGAAATGCGCATTCTTCCATCCACAACCATACAACAATCCTGCCTTACTCATACTTCCCTCAATTGGTCCTGTCTCATGGAGAGAAATCTCCCATACAGACCGCTATCAAGCAGCTTCTGACCTCCTCTGGCTTGCCACCTGGCAATGAGCTGCCTATTGGTAGACCAATTGCCAAAATATCCCCAGACAAATCACAATGCCCCTGGTGCCCAAATACAGAACACAACACTCTACACCTCTTCCACCAATGCCACATAGCAAGCACAATATGGGGCACCACCCACCTCACATACACTGCCTGCACCCACTCTCAACCCCCCCTTACACTCCTGACCCCTCTCTCACCCCACAACCTCCATCTCCCACATACTAGATCAACTCCTAGGATGCCTCCTCTTTCTCTACACTCTAGACCTGCATATAGACTCAGGATAAACACCACTAACATTCTTTCCATTAATACCTGCTATACATCTCCCCCTTTCCTTAATACACAGATCAATGCCAATATTAATATAGGACTGTATTCTCTTCCTCTGCATGTATTGTAGATACACTACCTGGACAAAAGTCTTGCACATCGAAAAATTTTAATTGTACAAAATTACACATAAAAATTATATTTCAAATTTTAAAAATTTTAATATAATATTGTTTTGGTTTTGAACAAATGCGTGTATAATTTTCGTGTTGTTTGTAAACACACATCAGGATATATAAATAAATCCGTAAGCACTTCTAATCTTTATTGATTTTAAAATGCATCCCTTAACTGAAAGTAGATGGTAAAATGAATAGATCTGACTACATAAAAATACTTGAAAAGCATTTATTACCCTTGATAAAGGAAGAATTTAATTGCAGAGGGTATTGGTTTTAAGATGATAATGCTCCAGTCCATACTGCTAAAGATGATAATTGGGAATTTACCTGCCATGTTGCACAACCTGCCAGGTCGTGCAAGCTCAAATATCATCCTTTCATTGGACACTCAGATGGCTTCTCCTCCATAATAGAAATATTATGGAATTATGGACTGTACGATGTGTCAGGTTGTGTGACCTGGCAGGTAAATTCCTGATAATCTAAAGATGTTAAAAAATGGATTTTAATGAACAAAATCAAAGTCTTGCCAGATTGGCAAAGTCAGTCTCCTGACTTGAATCCAATTGAGCATTTATGGGCAGAGCTAGAAAGAAGAATAAAAAGCAGATCACAAGCAATAACAAATGTTGCAGAATTAGAGACAGCATTACAGGAAGAATGGGGCAAGATTTCACAAAGTCAAGTAATGGCCTTGATAGAAAGTATGCCACGGAGAATAGAGGCTGTTATTACAAACAATGGGTGGCCAACAAAATATTGATTTATACATAGTTACTTCATTGGTTAAAGTATAAATTGTTAAATTTTGAAATGTAATTATTATGTGCAATTTTGTGTAATTAAAATTTTTCAGTGTGCCAGACTCTTGTCCAGGTAGTGTAGATAAAAACAGCTCAAACTGGGCTTTAGCAAGCACCTTGTTGTGAATAAAAGTCCCTTGTTATAGAATAAGAAATGCACATCTTTTGCATAAAATTAAAATATCTATAACTTCGCCAACCAAGAAAAGAAAGAGAACTCAAATCACTGATGCTTTATGGCATGAGATTTGCATTTATTCAAATGATAATAACACAGCCACAAGTACTGACATTGCAATAATAAGTCTAAAGTTCAGTTGACATTAGACTTCTTTTGTTAGGAAATAAGTTAATCTCTTATGCATATCACTGTCAACATGTACATTTTTATTATCTTATTAACAGGTTGGTTTGCTTTTGTTTTATGACTTAAACTGAATAAAAGAATTTTAATTTTGGAAATCACAAGAAAGCCATTCAGTAGAATTTACAAGAATGCTGTCAATTAATGTATAAGCACTTCATATATACTGAGATTGTATAGTGGTCCCCCTCTACAATCACACCCTCCTTACAGTCACAGGTTTTAGGAGAACCAATGGTATGACTGTAGAGGGGGACGACTGTATATCTGATTTCTGAGTAAATTTGCCGGCATGAAAGATTTCCGGTGCAATAAAAGGTAAAACGCTTCAAATGGTTGACTCACGCGAATTCACCGATCGTGAGAGACCAAGATCGCATATGTACAAGTTACTTAATAGGAATCTTCATCTACCACGTCATCGCCATAGCCATTCCTCCTATTCAGAATAATGTTTCCGGCATGAAGATCACCTGTATTATGGATACAGTCAACTGCCTATAATTCGACTGCTTGCGTTCCGAGGTTATCGATCGAATTAACGTACGAGTCGAATTATCGTCAGTTAATTACAATAGAACTAATAATAAATGTCAAAAAATGGTCTGTAACCAGTGGTCGAATTAACGTATAAATCGAATTAAAGATCAGCAGTTGCGAATTACATGTATTTCTCGTGTGACCTTAACATGTACAAATCGCGTTTCCCGGATTTTTATTATGACAAAACACGAGATCCTACGAAATGGAGCATTATTGAATTTCTGAGCAAAAGCGAGTTAGAGCCGTTTGAAGCAAAAATTGATTATTACATAAAAAACTCAAGCAAATCATTAGTTGTGATTGTGAGCAAGATGACAGGAAGAAAAGAGCCCAGCTTCTGCTTGATAGATATCAAAAGGCGAGTAAAGAACTTTCATTTGGAGTGTAGGTGGAATAAAGTGGCGTGACGGAGACCTTCTTGGTTAGTCCAGTCATTCAAGGCTTTTTGCCGAGCCGAAAACTGATGTTGGCGCTATTCGAGTTATCGAAGGCTAAAGGCTTCTTGCCGATCCAACATTGGACCACACTGGGGCACATAGACCTTCTCGGTCGCGATGATGCTCTGGTGGGGGAAATTGAATGGCAAATTGAGTATAAGTGGTAGCAGAAGAATATTCTAATTTCCAGACCCTCCTTGCTAGGTTCCCCAATCCGATCGTAAGAAAGCAAGAGTTTGGGAAGAAAAACGTTCGCGTAGGCAAACACATAACCACCGGCCGATTAACGGGAATGTAGGAAATGTAATCGGGAATATAGACGGCGCTATCAATTTCAGAACTTTCTTTGCTACATCAAAAAGGGGTTTGAATCGTGAAAAGGTACTAATGTGTATTTTTCAGTTATAACTATATATTCCTCCGTGCGGTAGTTGAAAGCGCGTGCTAAACGTTCTCCCAAGCAAACCTAACCTTTACCGTAATGTCAAAAGAGTCAGAGACACCGCTACAATTGCAAGAAGTAGAGTTCTTTAAGAGTAACACGGCTTGGTCGCTGTTAAACTTTTTACAACAAAAAAGAGGAACGTAGGTACTACAAAAAATGTTAGAAATATTAACTAATCATGAGAATTATGCAGAAGAAGCGAAAATCTGTTTAGCCACTCTCCAAGTTAAATATATATATATTTTTTTTAGCAATGAGATTGGCAATTTCATGTGTTCGAGGACTAGAATACGTTCCGGTCGCCATGACAATAACGTGACGTGTTGACACCCCCGAGTAAGCTGGCTGACTACGCCTCGGCCAGTGATAGTGGACTACGCCTTCCCTCGGCGTCCTTGAACTAAGAGCTAGAACACGTTCCGGTCGCCATGACAATAACGTGACGTGTTGACACCCCCCCGAGTAAGCTGGCTGACTACGCCTCGGCCAGTGATAGTGGACTACGTCTTCCCTTGGGTGCTCTTACATGTTATTGCCATAAAGTCTAATTCTTTAGGCACAGATAAATTTAATCCTGTTTCTTCTGATGATAGCAAGAGAGAAATTCTTTAGGTGTAGATGAATTCTGGAAGATGGTTGATAAAAAACGACATGAAAATGAAATCAGTATTGAAGAGGTTGGTAAACCATCTGTAAAACTTTTTTCATACTTTAATCAAAGAACTGACTCTTATTGCATTAAATAGTTGAATTATACAAAACGTGCATTAAAAGATGCAAACAATGAAATGCACCACATACATACTATAGTGACTGATAAAATGCCAACACAGCTAAAACGCAGGCTAGGAGATCAAGCTGAGGGATGTGAAAATCAAGATTCAGGAGAGGTACAAATACAAATTGTGAACATTGATGGAATTAATTATTTGTCAAATAACTGCAATTTAATTTTTAGTGTGATATTCAAGAAGTATTTGAGTTGCATAATAATAAAGCTGGACAGGCATCAGGACCTGAGTTTCAAGAAAAGCAAGTACAGAAAAAATCAAAAAGACATAAAGTTAGTGAGAAGAATGAGATACCATCAAGTCCAAAAACTTCCAGTGATTTGTGTATAAACAAAAACTCAGTAAATGAAAAAACTGAAGAGGTGGAAAATATTGATGAATAAGTTGGGATTGATGATCTTGCAAAACTTGAAGAGCAACTAAAGAAGCAACCTTATACTGAGGTGAGTAAAGAGTTAACCTTTGATTGCTTTATCTGGCACAATACTGATGTTATTCATGTGCTTCAGTGGGTTGTAGGAAATGTTAATATAACACAAAAATTTCGTCAATATCAATGGAGTGCAATTGATAAAGCAAAGAAAGGATTGTTGAAGTGGGACAATACTTATGAGATATTATTGGTATTTTACAATCAAAATTCTATATCTAAAGGAAAAATTATATTCTCAGGTTTAATATTTTACAATTTTATTACAGGGCACTAGCATCAATTATTGTTATCTCATCTCCATGTCTATACCCTTATGAATATTTTACCCTTGAAGAATGGGATTATATAACAAAAACTAATTTATACAGTATTGGGACAAATACTATTCCATCATCCATTTCAGCAAGCCTATATGAAGCAGCAGAGGAATGTGTTTTTGGACAAGTATTTATATGAATGCAGAAGAATCATTTTTGAGTAGATGTGCTGGGAGAATTTTAATGATTTGTAAGTTGAATTAGCAATAGCATTAAATCAACTCCGTTACGTAATTTAAGCCTATAATCCTTTCCTCCATTCAATTCGATATATATTTCTGGCACAACAAATAATGTTAGTAGTGAACTCTCTCAGTCTTTGATTAAGCGGAATTAATTTTCGAGCGTTCATACTCCGTTTCGACATAAATCTCTGCTTCATATGAAAACTCTCTATTGTCCGGACATGAGTTCGTAGTCCCTAGTAACGATCGCGAGGAACTTTTATTTGCAACAAAGTGCTCGCTAAAGCCCAGTTTAAGCTGTTTTTATCTATCTACTTTACATGTAGGGGAAGAGAACAAAAGCCCATAATCTGAGTCGTAGACACGTCCGAGTTTAATTAGCTTCCACATCACGTGAAGATACTATAGGTTGTGATCGCGAACGCGTAGAACATCTATTCTGGCTGCCTCGTAACATCTTAACATGCATGTCAAGACTCTTCGACCAACCTGCAGAAAATTGAACATATGATGCTATCGCGGGCAAAATAATATATAGTAAAATATTGAGAACGAACTATCTAAAGTTTATGGAACCGTAACTGGTAATGAGTTTGATACTGCTTGTTCTATTCGCTTTGTATTCACGAATACCTCTGGATCAGTCATAAATGCACGACATATGCTTTTTTATGGGTAGTCAAGTAAAGGAATTTTGTAACGGTAGTTGTTCGTGAAGCTCATTGTCCCTTGGTATAGATATATTGAGTCTTTTTAACAGACTTGCGCTCATGGGTACACAAAATGCTACGGTGCAGGCCTGTACCAAATTTCAATATCAGTTAAAGCAGCATAACTCTTACTCCCTTGTTTCAATCTGGTAAATTAGTGCTAATACTAAATTACAGTCCCTATATGCACGTTTCAAAAAGGTAACAAACCCTCTACGTTTCCAATTGAGCGAACCGATGTCACTGATAATTTCGTGTCCTGGATAACGTTGTCGGAGATCTGTCGTTCGAGGTCGTCTCTGAACTGACTCTTGTTGCGTAACAAACCTTGGCCTTTGTGGGTTGCCGGTCATCTCCAAAGACTTTGTGTACATCTGTAATTGAATAGAGTCTTTTTCCTCCGGGTGTTTTGACAATGGCAACCTTTCCGGAGGTGGCCCATCGTCGCAATGTTTCAACCGAGACATCATATGTCTCTTGGATTTTACTTGCACTTTTGTAGGTAGTCTTATTCTGAGCCAGGGTTGTAAAAATGTTTGTTTAAGAATGTGAGTTAATATTAACCGTGTTTATTAAAATTAATTTTCCTTATATTTGATTTGAAATGCAGAGATCCATCAAGCTTGTAGTGATACGCTCGTGAAATTTTAATATTTTGTAGATGTGACATTTGTTTACAAGCTATTAAAAAATCATTGTAGATTATTATGTACGGATTCTAGTGATTTCAATTACTGCGTTAACAACCATGATCGATGTATACATTGCATACAGATCTTTGAATTACTCAACAAATACGAATATTGCAATCGTGAAAATTTCATATTTTGTAGGTGTGTCATTTTTTTACATGTTATTAAAAAAATCACTGAGGAGTATTATGTAGAGATTGTAGTAATTTCAAATACAGTATTAACGATTAGATCGGCGATCGTACTATTTACAAATCTTTGAATTATGAGAGAGTGTACTTTATGGCTTGTTGTGAAATTTAATATGCGTATCGACAACAGGTATGTTTACAAAATATGTAAGTTTCATTCTCGTAGCATTTACGGTTCTTGAGATATTTGCGATTTTGTGAAATTGATTGATCGGCCTTTTACATTGCCATATAATTGATCGGCCTTTTACATTGCCATATAAATCTAACATTCAAAAAAGGAAATAGAATTTAAGTCACGTTATTTTTAAATTGGTTAATTTATGATAATCATTTCTAAATTAGATGGACTATCTATTTTTGGAAGTTATACTAACAATCATTTCCCGATTCCAAATAATCCAAAAAAAAAAAATCTTTGATTGTATTGTTGTACATTATGTTTCGGTTACTCAGACGGGTTCGTATCACGGACACTACGTTTATAAAATTTCAACTATAAATATTTATTATTATTATTTAAATAATTAATATTAATAATGAAAAAGCAGAACGTATAAATTATATACTATTTCTCCTTTTTTATAAATCTAAATCAATATCTTCTACATAATTGTCTTCTATATTATCGAAATCCGAACTTAAATCTTTATATTTATTTTTAAGAAATTATATTCTAGTAATTACTGCGTTAACAACCACGATCGATGTATATATTGCATACAGATCTTTGAATTTTTCGACAAATACAAACGTTGCGGTCGTGAAATTTTAATATTTTGTAGATGTGACATTTGTTTATAGGCTGTTAAAAAATCATTGAGGATTATTATATATGAATTTTAGTAATTTCAATTACAGCGTTAACAACCTATAACAAATGATAACTTGGAATATTAGCAGAAGGAAATAGAGCGAGCGGGAATGATGAAGAAGTTGGGCGATAGTAATTATCTAGTAGATTTACAATTAAGATGGATGAGGAAAGGGAACGAGAAAACATAATACGCCAAAAGTTACACAGGAAACGTGCCGTAATGTTGTCATGTTCTCTCCCTACCTCAATTGATAACAAAATGGTAGATATTGATGAACTTTTTTTTTGTATACATTCCGTACGATCCAACACCCCTTCACCTAACATATATCTTAAAAAATATTAGTTTCAATTATAACGTTAACAACCATGATCGATGTATTCATTGCTTATAGATCTTTGAATTGCTCTACAAGTACAAATGCTACGATGACTACAAAGATGATAAAGAATATTGCTTAGTACAACCACTTGAAACTTTAGCTACGTTGTAACACATCGTTGATATGTACGTTGTGCTCGCGCCGCTTTGCTTTGCTACACGAATCCTTTCAGCCTGATTAACTAAGATCATGTGTAGTATTTCTTGACAGAAATACTAATGTTATATGTAATCGATGTAGAATACATTATACCATTTGTTTAGAAATACTGTGTAGTATTTCTTGACAGAAATACTAATGTTATATGTAATCGATGTAGAATACATTATACCATTTCTTTAGAAATACTGTGTAGTATTTCTTGACAGAAATACTAATGTTATATATAATCGATGCAGAATACATTATTATTATACCATTTCTTTAGAAATACTGTATTAGTGTTATACAATATCGTTTTGTGTCATATGATATGTATTGTATCAGCCAATCGACCAATCAGTTTCTGTAATTAGTTTTTGAAAATCGTAGAAAAAAATCGTTGAACATTGCATTGTTATGTATTGTCTTTTATGCATTATGTTTATTGGTTAGGGTAACTGCGTAATAGTAATGTTATCTTATGAGAAACTGGGATCGATAAATTGTAATCATATAATATAGTGTATGTAAAAATATTAACACGCACGTTATAACTTATAACATATGTTTGAAGAATAATCATATTAAACTTGGAAATGAAATTAAAAACGACATATTTAGCTAGTTTTAGAAAGAAAGACGATCTGGAAATCGATATATTATTATGCAATCGATGCTCTGGAAGTCTACAAGGAGTTTGATAAATCGAAAAAAAAAGATTTTTGACGGATCAAATATTGTTGTTATTTCTTTTTATGAGAATGTACTTTGATCCAGATAACAGAAATAATTTGAACAACGATACATTTATTCCAATTTTTACTGTTCAAAATTCGAGGAAGCGACACCTAAAAGGAGATGAAAACTTCAGGAACCTTTGAGCTTGAGGACATAAAGGTTTGAATAACTCACCTTTATAGTAAGCCACCTGTTACAAGCAGTGTAAGACAGTCCGACGATAACTCTCCGAATCAAGTAATCAATTTTGATATTGGTCCCCTCAGTTTTACGGGTGAAGCAAGTCTTATTCCACCTCAAAGAAGAATTGTTAGAAAGTCTAAGGGAATATATTATGAACATTCGTCATACACGATCGTTTTGAATATTGATTTCATCCTCGGATTTGGAAAGTTCCCAAACATCATCAGATTTAGTCTCATATTCAATTCCATTATCATTTTCTTGTGATAATTCCCAGGTGTTTTCCTCACAAAAAGGATTCATTCGAATCCGAAGTTGATTTCTTAAATGCGAGGATTTGCTTGAGATATTTCATTTCAGATATATTATGAATGTAACAAGAAACGTGTTTATATAGGAAAAAAATTTTGTGGCTTGTCTAGATGCTCGATCATGTGAATTTGAATGATCAACACAAATTATGTGTAACTTCTCTTATCAATCTATCATCTACATTTCGATGATAACTTTAGTGTCAAAGTTAACGGAACCTCTTTGTCATTCCATTTAAATTCATCTAAAATAATAAAATTCGCATCTGGGTCCCATTTCCGAAGATCTTTTTTACCTTGCCAATATATATGACGACCAAGACTTTTGGCCCAATTTAACATACTTTCGCGATTTTCACCAACCAACAGTAAAGAAAATGGTCTATTTTGAGAATTAATTGCATTAATACTATTATCAACCCATTTTTTGAGCATCTTAATATATTCATCATCGTCTTCTCTTTGTTTGTTTGTACAAACTTTTTCAATATTTTTATCAATAAATTCGTAATTTTTAACTTGTTCCATTTCAATTTCAATGTTAACTTCACTATTTGGAAAATCAACCGTATTTATATCTTTATATATTAAATTCATTGCGGCGTACAAAAATTATTTATCATTATCATCACTATAATTATCATCTATTGGGGGGTTTTTTTGTAATTTTTTATCACCAATATCTTCAATTATAACATTTTTTTTTATGTATTCTCGAAAACGACTACTTATACTAGTACTTTCTAATGGATTGTCGTCTGGATTACATAAGATAATACAAGGTTTGGAACCACCATTATAAATATATTTTCCTTTATACTTATCAGTCATTATAATTTTCGGCTGACAAGCAATTATGGTTTTATATATTCTTAAACTATTCTTATCAGTCCAATTAAAATCATCAATTATAATATATTGAGCTAAATCATCCCATTCATCTAATGCGAATATACCCGACCAATGAATATGACGACCAAGACTTTTAGCCCAAGAAGTCTTTCCAGTTTTAGTTTCACCAATTAATAACAATGATTGATATCGATCTTTCTTTGAATTAATATTATAATTAACCCACTGTTTCATCTTATTTGTAATATCGAAATCATCAGATGAGAATTTAGAAACATAGTGCTGTTTTGGTTCAATTTCTACACCTACTTACCAAAAGTATTGGTGATTTTCGTCGATCAATTAGTAAATTTTTCTTTTTTTCGGACATCTCTATTGTCTGTAAGTCGCAACAATTTTTATACCGTTTTGAAGTGAATTGACTGTACT